GGTTTAGGGTTTAGGGCATTGGGATTCTTCTTTTGAGGGCTTGGGGTTTAGGGTTTCGGGCTTGGGGTGTGGGCTTAGTGTCCCTAAACCCTAAACCCTAAACCCTAAACCCTATACCCTAAACCCTAAACCCTATAGGGTTTGCTTTAGGGTTTCGGGTCTTCTAGGAGCGGCCCCTTCTCAAGCAATAGCGTGGGACCTTGAGCCACATATTAAGCACCTTAGATCCTGAAAGTTCAGGGTTTAGTTTTTTTTTTTTNNGGGGGTGTAAGGTTCAGAGTTTGTTTCGTCATACATCATACATTGAGCTTCAAGGAGCTTAGGCAGTCTTGTTAGGGCTTACGGTGCAAACACAGTTGTAAGTATCTTAAGTTGCCCTAACAATGGCAGCTTGCATACAATGTCCCCTCATCGTGCAAGCCTTATACACCTGGACCCGCGAAACCGAATACAACAGCCTTTGTATAAGCCCTAAAAACCCTAAACCGAAGGGACAAATTCAGCCGACCCCCCAAGGAAGCTCTGGCAGATCACATACACTAAGCCTCCTGGCTGAGACTTTGCAAGTGTACAGTCAGGGGGGGAGGGTTTAGGGGTGTAGGGTCGTAGCGGGTGTCCTTGAACTTGTCTAGGGAGGTACCCGCTTTGGACATGTGTTGAGCAATGACCCGTAACTGCTTCGGAAGTATCCCAGGTTGGGGTTGGGTTTTAGGGTTTAGNNGGGTTTAGGGTTTAGGGTTATGTGGTGTGTGGCATTAATGGCCTGAGCCTGAGTGTTCTCAAGTTGTAAACTTTGAACAGGGTTGCGGGTTTAGAGCCCTAAACCCAAAACTCTGAACCCTGAACCCTATAAGGGGTTAAGGGTTTGGGGGTTGACGGCTTTAGGGGGGTTTGGGGCTTATAGGGGTTTGGGGGTTTAGGGGTTTAGTGCTTTAGGGGTTTAGGGTTTAGGGTGTGGGGCCTTCTTCAACCTAATGGCCCAATGCCTATATACAAGCTATTAGTCTACATACTTTTAGTTGCCAGGCTAGGGTTTAGGATATGTACTGGAGTGTATGAGAGAAGGGTGACATATGACATAAATATAAAGGTTCCACGCTGTTTTTTTGAGGCTTCTTAGAGGCGACAATGTGTTCCACACTAGCCATTTGCAGGGTAAGGGAGTTAGTAAGCCGGTTTCAACTAGGGTCAGGGTTAGTTATATGGAGCTTCAGTGGCATTGCCATAAGTAGAAATCTTTCTAGAATCTACTGGTTAAGTCCTATGAGTATGGTGGTGGTAGTAGTAGTAGTAGTAGTAGCAGTAGTAGTAGCAGTAGTAGTAGGAGTAGGAGTAGGAGTAGGAGTAGTAGTAGTCGTAGTAGTAGTAGTAGTAGTAGTAGTAGTAGCAGTAGTTCTTCTTATTTGAGGCCGCAATGGAGGGACCCCGTTTACACTCCAAGAGAGAGGGAGGAAGATTTATTAGTTAGAGGCAGAGGTCTAAGTCAAAACCCCCTGAGCCTCGATTCGTCCCTCCACTTCAACCCAAAACCCTAAACCCTAAACCCTAAACCCTATACCCTAAACCCTAAACCCTAAACCCTAACCCCACACCACGAAAGCATTATTCAGAGGATCCCTGCTGTTTAAGACCATGGGTCGAAACCCTAAACCCTAAACCCTAAGCCCTAAACTACACGCAGACACGGTTTAGAGCTGGGTTTAGGGTGATGTTGTGGGATGCTGATTTAGAAACCTTGGCCCTTTAATGTAGGGGCCTTAAATAAGTTGAACAGGGCTTTGGGGGGGTTCCTTATTATAACTATAGTATAATATACCCCAAACCCTCTTCTAATTATTAAGGCCCCTATATTAACCCCAAAATGTTTGAGGGTTGATATACAAAGCCCGAATAAAGACCCAGGGTTTCTTAATCAGATTCGTATTCGAGCCCTAATACAACCCAATAGCCTTAAAGGAAGTCTAAAGTCCATGGGATTCGGTTTAAGGGTTGCCAACAACAGTCCAGGCTCAACAGCACCCGGCCGGATGTGCCCCGGCAGTATTTTGTTGCTTCGCATTCAGAGGAACTGTTGTTCCAAAAAAGGGTGATCGCATTACTTGGAGGACCAGGGGACTTTGTAAGTAAGGTTATAAGTACCCTACTTTGGGTTATAGGTAACTATAACTATAGTTACCGTATTGATAACCCTAGTTACTTAGTCCCATGATCCTCCAAGTAGGCCAGTGCGAACCCTCAAAGCTACACCCCAAAAGCCCGACTCTAAATCCTGAAACCACACCCCGAAACCCCAAGCTATATAAGCAAATCCTCAGAACGACGTACCAAGAATCCAGGGCCCCCCCCCATATCCCGTCAAATACGCACGAAAACCCCAAGCAGCTTTCAAGCATCAGGAACCCAACTATAAAGGCCCAAACACTTGTGATCATCCCCTTGTAGTCCTTGCAATATACTCCGACATCCGTTCAAATGTAATACTTGATGCTGCCATGGTACGAATCCCGATGCGACTCTGTAAAGGATCTGAGCTGAACCCATCAATGCCCCAAACCCTAAACCCTAAACCGTTCTCCTGGAGATCCGGTTGCAATTGTTGAGGCCCTGACACTATTCCCACGGCAGAACTTTTGGACGTCCCCAATACTCCTCAAACGGGGTTCCTGTTCATGGAAGTTCACTGACGTTGTGCCGTGAGGGATCGGTTTAGGGTTTAGGGTTATAGGGCGTGAGTTTCAAGTTACCCAACTACGCATAGTAAACCCAAGAAAGTTGGAATCCGGATTCAGGACACTTAGTGCTGGGATTCCCGAAGCATTACCCTTGAGGAGTGAGGCTATTGGGTTTCCAATTTGGGGGGCTTCTACGGTAGGGAGGCGGAGTGATCCATGCTACAGTATGTTGAGCTGCATGTTTCAAAGGTTGCACGCACCAGGTAAAGGATCTCAGTTGGTGCGAAGGTGCATAGCGGCTTTTCAATAATTGGTTGGCTTCCCTAAACCTGAAACCCTAAACCCTAAACTTCTATTCGGGGTCTACATTGAGGATGGATTGGATCCTTCAACTTGGGGTCTATATTCAATGACGGTAGTATATGGGTAGTTCGCTAAATTAGGGTCCCAGTTTAGGTCCCCAATATAGTACGGCACCCTTATAAAAAGGACCCCCAAAGGGAGCCTAATTTAGAAAACTACCCATATATAGAATCTCTGGGTCAGGACTGCCTCCACATCCGTAATGAAGCGAGCGAGGAGATGGCAGCGCCATTCGGCTCAGTTGTGCTACGGTTTCATGACCAGGGTTTAGGGGTTTAGGGTTTAGGGTTTAGGGTTTAGGGGTTTAGGGTTTAGGGTTTTTAGGGGGTAGGGTTGCTTAATTAGGGTTTCTTAGATAGCCAATGGGATAACTTTAAACATTTTGGCCGTATATATTGTGTCTATCCTAGAAAGTTGGAACCTTTTTGGGTCCGGTTATTGAAGAAGAGAGGTTTAGCGTTTGATGGTTGTTCACATTTTTTAACTACCAAGGGCTCCGTTAAAGGATCCGCTCCATGGGTATTGCGAGGGTTTTGCGAGTGCTTCGGGTTTAGGTTTTAGGTTCACTGCCGCACACAAAGATACCACAAGAACAACAAACTAATGTGGGGGCCTTAATAATTACCAATACTATTTTGGGGGGTCCTGTTTATAATTTATGATTATAGTATAATGGACCCAAAACCCTATTCTAATTATTAAGGCCCCTATATTAATAGTAGCCCTAGTCCATGTACCCAAATCGTATATACTTAGGCCTCAAAGTAGACCCTATATAGGTCCTGTGGGGCCAAAGTATATTGTGTTTGGAACATGAGCCCTTAGGGAACCATTAAGCCCTAAACTACTCTCTGACCCACGAGTTCCAGGTACAGTTTCGGCTCCATAACCTAAATGCTGAGACCTGCAATCACAAGATTAACAATTCTTAGACTGCTTTGTGTCAAGGAGGTTTGGTGTTTTGGGTGTAGGGTGCTTTTGTGACGATAGGTATTGTTGTTTTTTTGGGGGAATCTCCCAACGTGCCGGGTTTGGATTGTGACGAGGGGTAAGGTATGCACTTACTTATACTCGAAACTGTGCTTCCCTTCCGCAGGCTTCGGTGTTCACTACGTTGCGTGCCAAGGAGCACTGCCGCTTGAAGACCGTGAAGTTCTTTGCTTCCAATGATTGAGAGAGCTGGGCTCTTGAAGGAGTGGGTTGATCTACCCAAAGGGTCCTAGGTACTGTTATAGGGGATACTTTCCCAAATCATAGTAACTATTCCTAATATAGAAACCCTACTTTATACTATATAGGTACATTGGACCCTTTGGGCTAAACAGTCTTAAACCATTATCCTGAGACTATGTTCATTGCGAACGCAGGCACCAACCGCAAGTCCAAAAGCACAGGAAAGGACGGAACATGTTGCTATAGAGCATCTACCAACTGTGGCAGTTCTTGCCCTTGGCTGCACGTTGAGCAGCAGACGCCGCTGATTCTTGCAAGACAACGTTTGTGGTTTAGACCCTGTCATCGTCCATTTCTGGGCACCGCTCGCACCCTACATACAAGACCACTCCAAGCTCCACGCCATCAGTCTGAGCTGCCCCTTCATGCAAAGTTCAAGAACTATCATCCACGCGCTCGTGCCCCCAGCGGGACGTTGGCACTGCATGTGTGCCTTCCTGTAACTCTCTTTTCCTACAGTTTTTCCAGCCATCACCCCTTACTTAGTAGGTGGAAACCATAGAGCTGTAGGTAATTAGAGCCCCAGGTTTGGAATGCACGTAGCGGGGTGTTTCTGAAGAAGACGTCAAGTGCCATGCACACCCGCCATCTTTCGCTTTGCACTTTAGGGTTTAGGGTTAGGGTTTAGGGTTTAGGGTTTAGGGTTTAGGAAACCTGAAAATATCCCTGATGGTTCCTATAGAGGTACCTCTTCATAAAGACTCTTCAGGGCCCCAAGACTACAACCCAGG